TCCTGTGAATGCATTGTGTGCTTGGTTTTGTTTAATGACTGCTAACCCAGTCCGTTTTATTTTAATGTAGAGTATTGAGCCCTTGGCCAACAGCACCTCTCAGGCACCTCAACAAACTGCCAGCAAAGAGTCTAAAAAGACTGTTGATCATAATGCTAATAGCTCTCCTGTAAACGAAACGAATGGAGACCATAAGCCCAAGCGGACAACCAGGAGCAAGGTAACTCATGGGGGTCGTCACACCTGTGCAGGAACCTCCTGGTGTTTGTGAGCTTGACATTTATCAAGTTTCTTTTGTTCTTTCAGAAAACGTTTACAAAAGAGGATGTGGCAGCATTGAAGTCCAAGCTGCAAAAACTGAAAGGGCAGTCTGACACCGCGACGAATCCCTCACCTGCCCCCGTGTCGGCACTAGTGGAGCTGAAAGCGAGGCTCGATGCGGCCCGGGAGATCTCAGCCAAAGTTCAGCAAAAAAAGGCTGAGCGAGTTGCAGAGGATGCTAAAGCTACTGAGGCACAGGCTGAGCCTGAAGCAGAGGAAAGGTGAGGTTTGCTGGCCAATGTGTCAATTTTTCTGTTACCAAAAGTGACTTAAATTGGACTTCTCATCTCACGTGGTTGTACGTACTAGTGTTGGAAGATATGCTCAATTGTCATATCGTCAGCAGGGTTGGGGAGTAACGGAATGCATGTAAAGGCGTTACGTAATCGGGATACAAAACATTATTGATACATTGGTAATACAAAAAAAAAGATTCTTGCATTGAATTCAGTGCTTCTTTCTGGGCCTCCCTGTTAGTAGTCTTTACAGGTATTGGCAATATAATCTGTTCATTGCCTTTTCTTAAACACATTATTGGATTTTGCTGACATGATAATGTTGATCCGCTTCTAATTTGTATTGCTATACTGGTATACAAATCAATGTTGATGCATATGAAGAGTTCGTTTGCAAAAACCGATAACTCCATTTCAATTTTTTTTTCCAGAAATCACGTTTTTTTAAATTGCGCATTCCAAGTAATATCAATCAAACTGCAGTTGGGTTGTTTTGATTAAGTAATAACTTAAACAAATACAGGTAATTTACAAAATTAAAGTTCATTGAAAGTATGTTTTTTTTTTTATTTTTTTAACATATTAAAAGTTTGTTTTATAGCAAAAGCAGATAACTCCAACAGTCGTTTTTTTGGCAAAAGCAGATAACTCCACATTTCATGTTTTAGCATTAAAAAAAAACACTCGTTTAATCTTTGTAATCTCCTCAGATGGCAATGTAGGTGCATGACAAACGTTGTTGTTGTTATGATCATAAACTGTATGGATGTGATAACACGCAATACACGGCGCTTTTCCCTCACCATTGTAACGCGCTGCTTTTTCAAGGGTTGAAAACGTTTCCGTTTTTATTTTCCTTTTTCGCCCTGAAGAAGATAGCACAGGTTCATCAAGTTCGTCGAAATTATCCATCCTCGATCACTTTTAGTCAGCTTTGATGAAACTCCTCTCAGCTAGCACGGCTTTTCAAAGTGAAAGTAGCCTTGTCACCTGACCTGAATACAGCGTGCTGATTCGCTAAAATGGACTTATCGGCTTCTGTTCAAAAACAACAATGGCGCTTGTCGGCTTCTGCAGTAAAACGTGAACTCGCGATGCCTTGAAAGTGGACAAAACTGGCTTTTTTGACAAAACGTGTTTAGGGTTCTGATCTCGCTATATTTGGGAGAATATAGCTCTTTTTTTTTTTCTTTTTTTTAAAAGTGGCGTTTATCGGTTTTTGCAAATGCACTCTTCATATGTACACATTGAATAAAACATGTCTTGAGTATTTTAGACATGCAGTTACCCTCGTATGGACATTTGGTGCAGGTCTCAAAGTCCTACATTTGATTTAAAAAAACACTGCAGATACCCTGGACATGCTTTGTGTCGTTAGTCTTCTATAGCTGAATTTGTTGTTTTCGTTTCAGACAGAAGCTCCCAGCTTATCAGCGTTACCACACTTTAGCTCAGGATGTGCCGCCTGGTCTTACCCTGCCCTACCAATACAAAGTTCTCGCTGAGATGTTCCGCAGCACGGACACCATAGTCGGGATGCTGTTCAACCGCTCCGAGACGGTCACTTTTGCCAAAATCAAGCAAGGGGTTCAAGATATGATGCGCAAGTAAGAGGCTGAATGAAACCATATGCTAAAATGTTTATGTGCCAGTCAGACTGCTGGTTAACTGTGTGGTCCGTCTTATCAAAGGTAACCATATTTTGCTTTCTTCACAGGCGTTTTGAAGAGAGCCATCTGGGGCAGATAAAGGCTGTGTACCCTTCTGCCTATACTTTTCGTCAGGAGAGAAACATTCCATCTTTCAGTGCTACTGCAAAAAGGTCTAGCTATCAGCTTACAGTGGAGCCGGTCATTCAAGAAGGTGAGAACTTTGAGAGTTTGCTCAGAAATGGTAACATTGAGTAATAAGTGAATTTATTGCATTAGACTCTGCATTCACTCTATAAATTTGAGTTGCTTCTAAAGTAAATTTGGGAGCACAATATGCACCAACCATTTTACAGTACGACATTGATATATTTTTTCATTCAATCATTAAGTTCATAAAATATAAAACAAATTTCATAAAATGTTTCGGTCTCCAGAATTTAACGGTACTCGTCCAGTGTTGTCGGCCTCTCGTCTTTTGGAAAGAAGGCACATATTTCACCAAAATCTGGTTGAAATCGTGAAGGGACACCACAAGGTACGTACAGGATATGGCTCATAAAATAGTTTTGCTTGCATTTTAGTGTTTTAGACATTCTGATTTTTGTGTATTCTAATCATGTTTTGTCTTGCATTGGATACAGGTGTACCTGGCTTCCCTAAACCCTCCCATTGTCGTTCCTGATGACAAACTGACCCGCTGGCATCCGAGATTCAATGTGGATGAGGTTCCCAACATCAAACCAAGTGATTTGCCTCAACCTCCCCAAACTGAGAAACTGACCTCAGCACAGGAAGTGTTGGACAAAGCTCGTGCTTTCATGACACCAAAGGTTAGCATTTAAACATTGTCTTTGTGCTCTTTAGGGCATTACTGGTTCCCTTTTGAATAGGGGTCAGTCACAAGCATGTCTAAGATGAGAAATCTAGTTTTAAATGTAGTCTTTCAGCATGCATGCTTTTTTTTTTAAAATTTTTTATGTCTTTCAGATCCACAAATTAGGTTTTAAAAATGAAATCAATCCACATTATTTAAAAACTTTATTTTTTGCAAATAATTATGCAAAGAACTAAACTAAATTATAGTTCAGGGCATTTATGCCACAAAACATATTTAAAGTCATGTGTTCAGGTCTGTATAAATGGCATTTTATTCAAAAAAGTTGATCTGAAACAAACATGTGCATTGCATAATTGACTTATGTTTTTTTGTTGTTGTGGGTTGTCATCTTTCTAGATGGAGAAAGCCTTAGCCAACATGGCCTTGAAAACAGCAGAAACGGCATGTGCTAAGGAGCCAGAGACCTCCGCTAAATCTGTTGCCACACCAACAGAAACCCCCAGTGCCCTTAAAGGAGTTTCTCAATCACTGCTGGAGAGGGTGAGTCAAAAAAAAAAAATATTTTTTTTTAGTGCGTTTACAAGAATCTAACCAATATTTTCTCCATGATTCAGATTCGTGCCAAAGAGGCTCAGAAACTGCAGGCTGCTATGACACGGAACCCACTGCAGGAAGAGCGCCTGTCGATGATGTCACGGCTGCCAGAGTTGGCCAGGATCTTGCGAAATGTATTTGTAGCAGAGAAAAAGCCAGCCCTCATCATGGAGCTCGCCTGCAACCGCATGATCGCTAGCTACAGATCTCCTCTCAGTTCTGGTTAGTACAGATGTTTCTGTTGGGTTTCCCACCTCAGGTTTTCCTGACACAATTGCTGTTCAAAAACCTAGTGAGCCGTCTTTTAAGAGCACCTCATGACTTTATTTGAAAGCAACTTCACACCACACACAATCCTCTTCACATTAAAGGAACAGTTTTTCTTCATCCGATTTTTAGCGTTACATCACTTGCTCACCTGTCCGTTCGCCGCGGGGCCTGGTGCGACCACTAAGGATGGCCCTGTTTGCAGTGAATGGGTGCCAGCAGAATGAGTTCAAACGACTGATTAAAAACATCACAATAATCTACAAGTAATCAATTAACATCTTTTGAAAAGCTGCCTGCACCCATTTACTGGATCCTTTGGCGAGCAAGGCATGTAATGCAAAATTTCTCTAAATGTGTTCTAATGAAGAAACAAATTCATCTACATATTAGCCTGAGGGGGGACTATTCCTTTAAGTTTGATGATAGCATGTTGCTGAGCTAATTGTGATTATTTCAAGTGCACAAATATTCAGAACATTTGTTAGTTTTATTTGTTTTTGCTATTTATTAAACTAGTTTTAGAATAGTCTGTGCTTATAAATATGGGATTTTTTCTTTCATATTTTTAGTTTTTTTTTTTTTTTTCAATTTCATTCTAATTTAGATGAAATGGAGAAACATCTTCGCCTGTTGGCTGAGTTGACACCTGCATGGCTAACACTACATCCAGTCAGAAAGGATATGTACCTGAAGCTGGATAAGACCGTGGATCTGAACACTGTGCTGGACAAACTGAACCAAAAGATGAAGGAAGGAGAGCGTATTTGAAGAAATTCAAATGAGACTGTTGAGAGAATACCATGTGCAATATTTTATTATGGATTATGCCTGGATTTTAACGTTGCGATGACCTGATTACTTTTTAATTTGTTCAGTCAGTTTTGCAGTCTGGGGGTCACGGTGTTTTAAACTGCTGTGTTTCTGTTGTGATTTTTGCTCTTTGCATCTTAGCACAATAATTGTTCATATGTAGACATGTAAAAAGTATTTTGTATAAAGGCAGTTCAATGTAGTTCTAAGTTTGGCTTCTTTGGTAACTTAAACCTTAAGGTTCATCTAGTTAATGTGCATCGATTCATTTACAATAAACAAGTTCATGCAAGCAACAGCGTTTCATATTCGCAAACTGGAAGCTTAAGAGTTTGTACACAAGCTCTCTGAAATCATATACATTTGCTTTTGTATAATAGGTGAAAAACTATGTAAGAAGAGTGGCATGTCTGGAGTATGCATAAGACAATTGATGAAGAGCACCTAGAAGTGTGCATACAACAAACATTTTGCTATCCCATGAAGCCAAGGGAGAGCGTTTATAAAACAGCATTACTGAAGATAAAGACAACAGAGAGAGTGTAGTATGGTGAAATTACACTCACACTATATAAAACATGATTACTGATTGCCCCTACTTAGTAAGCGATTTCTTATGCAGCCTATCTCTTTTTCAGTTTATGGTTTTGTCAAAGATGAATTAAGACTAGCAAAACATGATTGAAAGTTCTTCATATTCCTAATATAATATACTTCATTTCAGATGGCTAAGATAAAACAGACTCCGCCACATAAGCAGTACCACTGTCAGTACTGTATTAGAGAGAACACAGGGGTTGATTGCAGCTTCTCTGATCCACTGAGATACTTCAGTTCAACCACCACCAAACAGCCCAGCACCTCTGCCTTCTGCTGTTTGATCAGCTCACACGCCGCATACAGGGTTCCTAACGAGAAAAAAGAACTTGGGATTGTTGCTGTTGGTACATTAAGCTGCACTCTAGACATTATGAATCAACAACTGCCCACCTTGGTGTAAAAATATACTTTCATTCAAAAGTTTTGACATTTGAATTGAATGAGTTAGTTTTATGTGTGTACATAGTATATACACAGCTCTGGGTAGATTTGTTACAAATTCAGTCTGTTACTGATCGCAAAATAAATGAAAACTGCAGTTAGTACTTACAAATTACTTTTGACCTAACTCATTTATCCCCTTGATTTGAATGGGATAGTCTTGTACCATTTTGATATTGGGAAAAAAATAAAAATAATAAACATATTCCATTCTCTATCAACAACGTGAAGTGCATGTTTGCCAAAAGGGTTTTTCCATGTAACTGCAGAGGGTTGGTAAATTGATGAGAAGCTAATAATTAACTTATAAAAATGTAAAATGAAAATAAAACACTTCTTAAAACACATTTGTTTACCTGCAAATCATGTGACCATTAACCAACATCAGAGAACAGTGAATATGCAAATGTTTTGTTAACGTGTTGTCCTAATAATTACCTTAAAAACAAGTAAATATTACATCTACTGCATTCCATGCAAATATAAAATACACGAGTTTGTGCATTTTTATGTGTTTGAAAGACAAAAGCCAGACATAGTAACACATGATTAAATGACTCACTCTATGATAATTCAAATGTGTTTTGTCAGGAGTTGATGAGGCATGCAATGTTGAGAAACCACTCCTTAAAAGTAAAATATTTCCGTAAATCCAGTGGTCAAATGCTGTCTGGTCTACACAGAGCCGATCCTAGACTTCTGGGGGCCCTACGCAAAACTGTGTTCAAAAACTAAACCAAAATTAAATAATCTGAGAGCAAGGGGGCCCCCTGGTGTTTCGGGGGCCCTATGCAGCTTGCGTACTTGGCGTATAGGGAGGATCGGCTCTGGGTCTACACATTTTCCTTGTAATCTTCGCAACCTGACAACTAACTAATCAGTGTGTGTAATTCCACATTCCTAGGAGACTTCGATTACATATATAAGCAATAGGCTTTTTTTGAAGGAAAATTTAAATGGTAAAAAAATTGAGAATCAATCATTTATAAGCAATTTGCTGCCATTTTGTGAATAATATGTAATCATACTCACTGTATATATAGTAATTCAACTGTAGTTTAAGTACACCGGTTTCAAGTCTCACTCACCTCCAGTAGCCAGTAAATCATCAATGATCAGGACCTTCTGTCCTGCAGAAACGGCGTCTTCCTGCATCTCTGCCTCCGCCTGAAACGATACTGCTGAATTACATAATGAACAGAGGCTTGCATTCTAACTGCATATAGACTAGACGTGATACTGGACCATTTATAAACTGAAATTACCTTCGCATACTCAAGACTATAAGCTACTGATAACGTTGGGCCAGGGAGCTTCCCTTTTTTCCTGATTGGAGCAAATCCTACACCTAATCTCTGAGCCAAAAGCGGCCCAAATAGAAATCCTCGAGCGTCAAGTCCTAGGAGAGAATGAAGAAAACATCACTATAACAATACTCTACTAGCAGCTATTAGGGTGTTACTATGCTGCAGTCATTAGTGTGTTCTGGGTGGTTGCAAGATTGTTAGTGGGGTGTTGGTGTACAGTTTGGTTAATAGCCGGTCCCTAGAGTGTTCTGGATGTTCTAGGGTGTTGCTATGGTATTCTGGGTGGTTGCTAGGGTGTTGCTATGCAGCAGCATAATAATTCCCAAATAGGTCCATTATAATGACCCGCAGGATAAAATGTCCCTGTATGGCATCACAAGGAATTTAAAACAAATCTATCAGGAATGTCTCCTACTCTAGGATCCTCCTGTGATTTCCACCTTTTTCCTAACGAGACTACTGCGTTTGAAATTATGGGAGACACTTCCGGTTTGGGGAGACTGCAACGAATAATTTCAAATCAGAAGATTGCGCTACAAATAATCCTTATCTGTCATTTTGACTGAATGGGCTGTACATTTTCATTCATTCTCTATTTTCAGAAGCCAGGAGAATAACGTTACGTTTGGTATATTAATGTGACGTGATATACATTTACATTTAGCAGACGCTTTTATCCAAAGCGACTTACAAATAAGGACAATAAAAGCAGTCAAAACTAACAAAAGAGCAACAATATATAAGTGCAAATGACAAGTCTCGGTTAGCCTAACGCAGTACACGTAGCAAGGTGTATGCATGTATGTATGTATGTATGTGTATATATATATATATATATATTATA